ATATATATATATATATATATATATATATATACATACATATACACACATACATATATATAGTGAGGGCCATTTAAAAAACAATGAATTTTTATGTATTTTATTGTAAGAAATCATCATAGAAATAGATTTTGCTTTGTTATTGATATTCCTTAGTAGAATTTTGCATCTGCCATTTTTGAGTAGAGCATATAAGATTTTAATTTTAAGAAAAGCCTTATTCTAAGATTTTAATCCATTTAATAATTGAATACAGGATAGTGCATTATGGTCTGGATTTTAACATATCTTCTTAGAAGAAAAATTTGATTGAAAGATTTTACTGTCTAATCCCATATAACATACAGATCTGATACTATATACATAAAAAGAAAATAAAATTAACATTAAAAATTAAATTTCACCTCCAATGCTGTATTGACATCATTGGTGGTACGAACATCAGTGAAAGAAAATGAAACAGAATTTTGTTGTCTTCTATTTCAAACAATATGAACTGTATCTACAATGTAAAATGATTAGGGAAAATAGCTTTATAAAATAGAAAATCATATTAATAAGAGAACTTTGCATAACATGAGTTAACAATTGCCAATTTGAATGAACAGTTATGAAATTATTAGTTTATGAGGTTATTTAATTACACTTAAATTCAAAAAGATGATGCCTAGAATATTTTTAAATTCTATAATTTGTTGAAAATGTATTTAATTAAAGCAATTTACATTTCAATAATCGTATCTGTAATACTCTAATTTTCCAATAATGTGTACCAGAGCATAAAGCATTACATCTATATATTGTAATAAGAATTTATTTTGCATAATTGACAAATGAAAATATGTGACATCTGTAACACACATCATCACTACATGTTGCAGTGAGTGCAATCACTGGAAAATGAAACATTAGGGGTAAATCTTGAAGGCTTTTGTTTACCACAGTGAGAACTAACACATAGAACTAATGGAGTTTGTTAAAGAGCAAAATAATCATACTTGTTTCTAGGAAAGACTACTCAGTCATCACTGTGGATGATGCAGATGAGTTAGAGTGATTGAAAGAGAAAGAGATACAGACAGAGAAATGATTTTATGGAAGGGGAGCCAATGAGAAGACAAGTCCATCATTCCAGGCAGATAAAAATGAGCAGCATTTGGAATGTATAGAGATAGGGCCAGATCAGAGATTAACATTTATATAATGCCAATTAGATGTTGGATAAGAAGGCTTGCCCAAGACAAAGATAAATTGTTGGTGTCTAGCCTGGTAAGAAATTGGTGATCATTATTAACTAAGATTAGGTGAAGGATCAAATTAAATGAAGAATATAATTATTCCTGTAAATAATCTGAGCTCTGTGGATTGCTGGTGTGACCTCAGGCAGGTGACTTGTACTCTCCATGTCTTGGTATCTCAACTTATTGTTAAAATATGTTAGAACTGCCCACATGACAAGTTTGTCAAGATGCTTAAATTAGAGAATTCGACCAGGTGCAGTGGCTCACGCCTGTAATCCCAGCACTTTGGGAGGCTGAGGCGGGCTGATCACGATATCAAGAGATCGAGACCATCCTGGCCAACATGGTGAAACCCCGTCTCTACTAAAAATACAAAAATTAACTGGGCGTGGTGGCGCATGCTTGTAGTCCCAGCTACTCGGGAGGCTGTGGCAAGAAAATTGCTTGAACCCGGGAGGCGGAGGTTGCAGTGAGCTGAGACTGCACTCCAGCCTGGTGCCTGATGACAGAGTGAGACTCTGTCTCAAAAAAAAAAAAAAAAGAGAAATGAAAAAGAAAAAAAAATTAGAGAATTCATATAAGGCAGCGGTTCCCACATCGGCCTGCACGTTGGAATCACTGGGAGCTCCCTGTCTCCAGAGATTGTGGTTTAATTGCCCTAGGGTATGGCCTGGAATCTGGAATTCTCAAAAGATCCTCGGGTAACTCTAACACGCAGGCAAGTTAAGAAACTTCTGATATAAGGAACACAAGCCCAGATATAGCATTATGTCAGGAAGAAATCAGATAATAACCGTCATCAGAGTTAGGGACTGCCGGGTACAACCATCAGATCGAGGACAGAAATTGGGACATCCAGATTCAAAAGTGGATCCAGGAATAGAAGCCAGTGAAGGAGGATGAGGAGTAAGAAGGAAGGACGAAAAGTAGAGAAAAGCAGTCATAAAAGCCCGAAGAAACATTTTCCAGATAATAGTCCACAATCTAAAAAATAGTAGGAAGGTGCTGTGGCATGGAGACTGTAAAAGAATCTAGTGGATCTGGAAGTCAGTAGGCTACTGGTCATCTGAGCCAAGAGCATGTTCAGCAGAGGGGCGAAAGCAAGAACTGGACTGATAACATTCAGTTCAGGAATGTGGAGGAAGTAAAGAATTAAACATGGAAATTGTTCTTTCAGCACGTCAGCCAATAAAGGAAAGGATACTTTCTTTTATTTGTGGTTTTAGCCAGGGGCAGTATCCTAAAAAAAGTGATGTGAATTAAATTGGAGGAGAGAACATGAGGTTAATATCCCAGGGAAAGGACATAGTGGATAAGAGGTAATGAGTCAGGTTCAGGAGACGGGTTTGCTAGGGCTACGTCTGGTAGTCAGCTGATGAAGGAAGAAAATGGAAAATTAGTTTTGATGTGAGTATCATATAATATTAGAGCAGAAGGAAGTACTATAAATTTAGAAAACTGCATTTTACTTATTCAAAAAAAATTATCTACCTCAAGCCTACGGTGTTATAATACTTACCCATGACTATTCAATGGTACAGCCAAGACTTGTGAATATAGTTTAGAGTAGGGTGACCATATAATTTATTAGTCACACATGGACACTTTTGAGAGTGTTAAAAAGCTAAACTGAACAGGAAGCTAGAACAACAGTTATAAAACCTGGACATAAGCTCATCTTGCTTATGAGGAAGCAGAAATGTGCTTAGAGGACTAGTGAAGGCAAAATTGGTCTTTACATCCCTTTAATAGATGCATTTATATATCATCATGATAATACAGAATACTGTACTCTCAGCCATGTTGTAGTTGAAGCCAGCACTGGGCCTCTGGGTCTTTGTGTTTCACCTTCTCCTAATCTAGGAGAGTATTCTTTATACGTTAGACTCACAATAAGTTCTCTGATCATTTCTCTATTCATCAGCTCTATAATTATTTAAAAATTTTAAAAGCTTTTCCAGCATTCTGACTTTTCACTCATAAAAGCTCATTTTATTTTAAGCAAGGAAGAGCCATCTGAGTGCTATTCATAGCAGACAGCATAACCTACGTCCCCATATGTGGGTACAGCCAAATACTGATTGTTGACATCCCAGTGATCATCATTTTTCCCAGAGCTTTAGTGTTCCTGCTGAAAGCAGTGCTCTCTAGAGGCCAACATTTCAGACACAATAAAAAGTGAAATAGCCGTGCTTTTGCCCAAAGATTTCAGACAAACACTCAGCCTTTCTAAAGCCTTCAAAATACCATAAAATTATCTACAACCATTTGATCTTACACTTGGAGTGCAAGTTAATATTGTATGAAGAACTGCAATACAGAGTATTTAGTCCATTATTTTCATTACAGATACTAAAGTATTCCTCTAGCATCATAGATATAAGAAAATGTATTCTGTCAGGGACTGCGCCAGCTCACGGGGTTACATGCATGATGATAAATCAGGGACAAGGAGTTGTGATTTCAAGTGTCCTCAAACTTAAGCTGCTGTAATAAACAGAATGGTATCACCACGGTTAGAGTTCCACAGTTTATTAAAGTACAGAAAACTTTTCTTTTTTGTAAATGACAGCATTGTCCATCACTGTCAGTAATCCCCAGCATAGAGGAGACATAGACAACTAGCCACTCAGTTTCAGAGATGGTCCAGTGAGTCATATATCAGATGATGCTCTGATTTGTGTCTTCTTGGAGAATTTGGAATATAATGGGGTTATATTCAGAGTGGGTTTTTGTTTGTGTGTTTTATTTTGCTTTGGTTTCTAATTTTATAAAAGACAATAATAAAGTGTTTTACATGTTTTTTCTAAGAACTAAGTCATAGTATTTAAAATTGTCTTCTATAGAGATCAGCACACTTTATATCTTACATAATTTATATTAAGCACATATACATGCACATACAGAGAGACAGAAAGTGAGAGAGAGACAGAGAGAGAAACCTGTATTTATTTCATTGTATGGGGGCTGTGAGAGGAAAGCTTTTTCTGTGATAGGCCCTTTTCTCCCATCACCTGTTTCTCATCTATCATGGCTTGTTTATCTAGGGGCCGTGGAGGTGCCGTTCCTCCTCCCCCACCACCTGGACGAGGTGTTCTCGCCCCTCGGGGAAGCACTGTAACCCGTGGAGCCCTTCCAGTGCCGCCTGTAGCAAGAGGCGTACCCACTCCTCGAGCCCGGGGGGCACCAGCAGTGCCAGGATACAGGGCACCCCCTCCTCCAGCCCACGAAGCTTATGAAGAATACGTAAGTACTCTCAAGAAATAAGTTGTAAGGATGAGTTAAACTGATTAGTTAACAACACTATGTCTCAAACCATTCATATACCATGAATATATCAGGTAATGTTTACTGCAAAAAACAAATGTCATTTGTAAGAGAGTTTAAGCAGTGCATTTAAATGAGAACAGTTTGAGAAACGGTTTTGTTTTACAGGTGTCCTCAATGTTGGTGCTAGTTAAAGAGCTTGCATTTTAATAACCAAACTATCTTGAGGTTTTTTTACCCTTAGGAAGTTTGATCAGATTTTAAATGAGAAATAATTTTAAACAAAAGATGAATTGCCTTATATTCAGCGATTTCTAGAACTTCATAAAGATTAGCATAAAACTCAGAAATATTTGACAAATGTAATATGATTATATTATAAACTTTGGTAATAATGTAGCCCATTTGGCTGGTCTTTCGTTTATATATCCTGCCTCTTTCTTTCACCGTATTAAAGATGTGGATTGGCATAAACAATTCAAAAAAATATACAATGAACAGATAAAATGCAGTGTTTCCAAGCATCGTCCTCCCTTCCTATCTACAGTATCTTTTGGTCATCTAATGTATCTAAACATCTTTTGAGCTTAAGTTCTGATTGCTAGTATTCCACTAATTACATTGTGGTCCTTGTGTCCATTTCTCCAACTAGTTTGTGAAACTTGAAAAGGGAATATTTTCTAATAGTATAACGATAGGAAGTCTTCTGTAAATGCTTAACTGAGGGAAGCCAGATTATTCTACTGAGTAGAAGATTTCTTTTGCCTTTAACCTCTCCGGCGTGTCCATCTCCTGATCTAGGTGTTTGTTTCATTCAACTGCCCATAAACATGCTGTCCTTTTCAATGTCTTATGTAAATTATTGCTCGTTAAATATGAACTCTTCAAGTACAGTTACTGTCACATACTGGGCACTCAAAACATATGGACTGGTTAATCAAAACTCAATTATAAGATAAAGTGAACATAGTTTATGTGTAGTTCTAAGAATATGTTAAGTCTTAGCATATATTCATTTTTAGGAATAATGTTAATACTTAAATAGGAAACATTGACAAAAATATGTAAGAGTGAAGAAAAATTAACTAAAAATTCACTTCTACTGAAACAGATAAAACGTGTTCATCTAAAGCATCTTTACTACATCAAGTATCAATATTTGAAAGCTTAGACAATCTTAAAATTGCAAAACCAGAAACAGAAAACATATTCTACTCTGCAAACAAACCCGCAAGTTAAAAAAACTCAGGGACTATCCCTGGTTCTGCCATCTCTTGCCAGAGACATAGTATGTGCAAAATAAGTACCTGTTTAAATGAATTAAAAATCTACAACAAGGATGGTAGGATCACATTTTTATCTTTAAGAAGCTATTTAGCTCCACAGTCTTTATGTATATTGAGACTATGGTGTTTTTGTCCTCCAAATAGAGGCTTAAACAGGTCAGTTTTTAAAAAGAAGCAAGAAAAACTTTTCAGATAATGGTAGTTAACATTCTTATTGATAGAAGAATTTACACAGCATATATGGGACTATGAAAGAGAAGTTTGCCAAACACTTGTAGCCTTTCATGTGTATTTCAATCTATGGTGATCACATCACTAGACTATGAATCAAATCAACAAAAGCATCAAGAGTTTATGGAAATGTGAGTGAAAGGGTTATATTCTTAATGGGACAATTTAAGAGGTAAGGATATTCCTTGGAAAAGATAACAGAAAATAGTACAATATTAGAAAGTAATCAGAAAATTTTACTTAGAATTTAAAGTACCCACTTGATTTTATTTATTCACTCAGTCATTCGCTGAGCTTCCGTCTTATTTTAGGTGTGTTGTGAAGGCCCCGGAGACATATCTGTGAACAAATCAAACCACATGTCTGCTTTCATGAAGCTTATACTGTAGTGGGAAGAGACAGAAAACAAACATATGTAAATAAATGAATAAAAGTTAGTGAGGTAGAGATAAGTGCTCTGGAGAGAGATGAGGAGCGTCCACTAACGGGCAGTTAGGGAAGGTCTCTCTGAAGTGGAGACGTTTGAGCAAACGCCTAAATGAACTGAGGGTCTTGGCCAAGCGGCTGCCTCTGTAAACAACATCCCTAGTAGAGGAAGCTGAAAGCATAAATGCCCTTGAGTGAAACCTGTTTGAAATATTTGGAGATCAAAATGGAGGACATTAAAGCTGGAGCAGAATGTGTGAGGGGGAGGTAGCAAATAAAATCAGGGCAGTGGACAGGCCAATTCGTGGTGCTGTTGGAGGGTGTGGAGGAGGGAAGTGGCGTGATTAGATTTATATTTTAAAAGGTTTATTCTGCCTACATCGTGTATAATAGAACATGAGGGTGGAGGTAGGCACACAGGTGGAAACAGGAAGGCTGTTAACTGGTTGCATTGCCCCCCACCCACCCCATGAGAGGATGATGGAAGGGATGAGAGGAGGGTCGGTTCTAAGTGTACTGCAAAAATACCTGTTCAGATTTGATGATGAAAATATGTGGACATGTGAAAGAGAGAGAGTAAAGGAATGTTTTTATGAAGTGAAGGTGATTAGACTGAACGACTGGGTTAAATTGAGACACTGTTTATTAAAATGAAGATACCACAGGGAAGTCGAAGGGTTCAGTCTGAGATTCCCGAGTGTCACTGGGTGGACAGGATGTGACATTTTTAAAGAGACAACAGCATCTCAAGGTTTGAACTCTAGCTGTGTCACTCCCTGTGTGATTTTGTGAACACTCTGAGGTTTGGATTTCTCTTCTATAGATGGAAATAATCATTTCAGCCTCTCAAGATTCTATTGAAGATTAAAAACAAATATACATAATCACTTATAAGCATGCATAAATACCTAGAATATTGTTGATATTCAGTAAGAGGTAACTATTACATAAATTTTATCATATATAATATTTAATTTTTTGCTTGGGATAAATTATGGAACCTTTGAAGTTATAGACATTTATAATCTATTTTTGTGAATCAGTTAAGCATTATTGATTGCAAAAAGGCAGAAGCACTTTGAACTTCATTTAGTAGAATTTTTAAAACTGGTATTGGGGAAATATTGTATGAATATAGGTTCATAAAATCCTGCAATAGGAATGTCATCTGGGCTTAGGAAAGATCTATACCAAGGAACTAGAAAATCATAAGGAATCTGTCTTCTTATCTCTGCTTTCTCTGCATATGTGTTTCCATTCCATTTAATCTACATACTGGATTTTTTTGGCTTCTTTGACAATGTGACTTATATATAGTAAAATTATATATATATAGTAAATCTCCTCCCGTGGCTGTTATCTTTTTATGTCCAGCTCTAGTCACCAACAGATAGTAGCCGCTCAGTTCTGTTCCAAATCTGCAGGTGAGAAAATGGTATTCAGCCAGGCTTGTCAGGTGTCTAGCACTAGTCAGTCATCTCTGAGTATAGGGAGAAATTCACTTGAAATTAGGTCTGGATCTACCACTCATCAACCACCAATGGCAAGGGAAGGGGAGGGGAGAAATTCGCATAATATAAACATAGTTCTTGGGGACCCAGCCCCAAGGACAATATGGGGAGACACTAATTTTCAGAGAGGAAAAAGTATTAAGAGCTTGGCAGACATCCCAAAATATACCTAGGGGAACATACTATTGATCATAGTAAAAAGTATATGGTTATATCTTTGAAAAACTTTTTATAGCATATTTTATTAAAACCTGTCTTGTATTATATTTTCATTAACTTTTTTTTCTAAAAACAATTTAATGAGTAAAGTTTAATACATGGCTGACAGGCTGCTGACTGCAATCTTTGAAATCCTCAGTACCCAACCCAGATTAGCACTCAAGAGCTGCTACCCTCTGCTCTAATTTTAAACTATTGATTCCTCTGCAAGGAGCAAGAAAAACAAAAGTTTAAGTGTTTCAAAAACAAAATAATAGCACCATGCTGAGTTGATGGTGAAAATCTCAAAGGAGTTCTTAACTTTCAGATAAAATTTCTTAGAAAAGCCTCCTTTTATTATAAATCACACTATGAGTCGATTCACTCTTCAGACTTCTTTCTCCCTGGCTGCGCCTCAGCGTTAAATTTCTGACCACATTGAATGTATTTAGGTAATCAAATCCACTCCTTGCAGCTGGCCTGACAAGAAACAGCTTACTGTAATTGAGATTGCTGTTTAAAACCATCATTAGTGTTAGCTGAGTCTAAAAAAAAAAAAAATTGAATTTTAGTTTGTTACACATCCTAACCCAGACTTTAAATATTTTAAAGCTTTTTTTCATTGACCTTCTGCTAAGACAAGTACATTTACATTTTATAGATCCATCATCATGATTGAAGTAGATTTGGAGAATCAAAAAGAGTATTTCAACAAAAAATCCCATAGGACAACATATTGAGCATTATCAGCTCTACCAGTGGATAATATGTTAAAAGACAATAAACTGAAACTAAAACTTTTGAATACCTCCTTGGTTCTAGTCACTGTATATTAACTCAATCTCACGATAATACTATCAACTAGTTTTAGATTTTACTTTTTTAGTAGGTGAAGAAACTGAAGCCTGGAATGAAGAGTTGCATCCACTTTTCTGTCTACAGCCTCTCTATCTGATACATTGTGTTTCCTCTTAGTAAAGAACCATAGTATCCTATACAGGACTTCCCTGGCAGAGAACTCAAGCACTGACACAGATCATTTGAACTTTATACCCCCATCTAGACCACTAGCCAGTGTTTTAGCCCCCTCAGCAATACTTAGGATATCTCCCCGTATTTATACCTGCATGAATACCTCCAACTCTGGAGAACTAAATACCTCCAGAAACTAAGTGCTGGAAATATAAAACTAAGCGGTTAAAGAGAAACTGTCCCTACTCTAAAAAAACTATGCCATCTAGTGGTAGAGACAGCATTAGTCCAACAATTAACAGATGTATTTGCTATACAGGGCTCTTATCTTACTCTACCCTCTATTAGAAATCAT